AGTTTTATACAGCCATAGCAAAAGACCTATAATAGTTATCGCTTCTCGAGAATCAACAAAAATTAGAAAAGAAATAGTATTTTTCCCATCTAGGTATAAATAGAACGGTGTAATATGTTATTTAATATTGATGGCCAATTGGTACAAAATATGTACAATATAAGTATATAAACTATAAACACAATATTATAATATTATTGTGAATTTGTGACTTAATTGTTCGGTATGTTACCGTAAATAATAAATTGGTAAATAGTAGGTACCTATGTATGTAATGTACTAGGTACACTCAGGGCCGGCGTTACACAATTTTGTCAGGGGGGGGGGGTTGTGAGATCAAGTATTGCCGACTCAAATTTAATTTATGCCGACTCAAAGTTTCTAAAAAAAAACTACGTGAAGTATAAAAATTCCTGGTTTTTCTGAAGTAAAATAGTTAAAACAAAAACAAAATATAGAACTAAAACATTTTAAACCATTTTATGCATAGTTAAAATATTTATTACTTGTATTTTATACAGATGTATAGATACAATAGGCTGTCGGAACTATTTTAAGATCTAAAAAATAAGTCGTGTACGAATATAAATCAACCAGTGTTTGTCAATAACTCAAAAAATTAAGTAAAAAATAAATTATATTATTTAACAAAATAGATTATATACGGGTACTTGAGATAGGGATTGCCGAATGCCGATTAGCGATGGCAATGATATGCCGACGGACTTAACGTTGTACAATGTACAAAAACAAATATATATTATAGTATTATAATACGGGTCCTTACTCCTTAGCCGACAATATCAGTCGGCACCACGGTTATCTACTAGTAGATAACCGTGGTCGGCAGTTCGGCACTGCGGCAGTATTTAGATTTCTAAATCGGTAAATTCTCAACTGCCGACTGCCGGGACCCGTTCCTATATTAAATATATATATTTTTTTTTTCAAAAAGTATAATTTCCAACGGACAACGGCTCCCTGAAATTGCCGACTGATAATTACAAACAAATTTAACAGGGGGGGGTGTGACGACCCACCATACCCCCATTGCCGCCGGCCATGGGTACACTTATATAATTGTGGATGTAAGAATATAAAATAATGAAAAAAATTCTACAAACTGTACAAAATTACGGTATTGTTAGTTTAATATTTTTAGGAGGGATTTAACTTCAAATTATTTATTTTGGGGGGGGCTAAGCCCCCGTAAGCCCCCCACCCATCTCCGCCTATCTTCAGTGTTATCATAAAATGAATAAATTATAATAGTAAATTTTTTAATCCACGAAAATATATTATCGGTTTGTGACACCGACTTTTTTAGAGGTTATGTTGTTAAACTTTTGTTATCGTTTTAATTGTTGTATTTTACTACTGAATTAGTCTAGTCAATAGTAGTTGAATAGTGTCTTCACTGTTGTTTAGAATTTGGATATCCATTATCCATAAATTATTATCGANAAAGGGGCTGAATAGGCAATCACATACATTTTGGAGCGCTATGACGCCAGCAGGTTTCTACAGAGCTTCTCGTATTCTAATCTATAGTATTTGATTTTACTACTGAATTAGTCTAGTCAATAGTAGTTGAATAGTGTCTTCACTGTTGTTTAGAATTTGGATATCCATTATCCATAAATTATTATCGAATATTATATTTTTATTCAATTTTTCTTAATTCACCCGTCGGAACTACTATTAGCTGTCTAAATTTGCCTATCAGTATTCGACTGCTCGTCGTTCAAAACCAATGGTTCGTGGAAGTGGACGTATCGGTATGAATAGATTTCCTCCATCGTTAGCCGGACCAATGGTTCCTCCATTCATGTCTCGCAGAGTGCCAAGGCATCCTTTCGATATTGTCCTCTGCGAAGGAGCGTTCCCTCGTGTGAAGCCTGGTGCTCATACTACAGAGGAATCGGCTTTCAATGCTGTAAGTGCAAATCCATTGTCTCGCTACCATTTTTAATGAATACATTCTAAATTTTATTATATTATGTATTTACTCTTCAGGCTTTGCTCAAAAGGGCGCAGGTGTTAACACCCACTCCCGAAGACCATTCATCCCTGCTGGGAGTTGTTACCAAGATACAGTCTATACTGGATAATATTATTATATCCCCAGGCAAAACTGAAGTGTCTGTAGGTTGATTGTTACAATATATATTTTTAATTTTTATCAATTTGTAATATTATATTATTATGTTTACATAACAGATAGAAGAAGTGAGAGTAGTTGGATCTTTTAAAAAAGCGACTATTATGAAGGGTCATACTGTGGCAGACATAGTAGTTATTTTTAAAACTTTACCTACTAAAGAGAGCGTAATCTCTTTGTCTCAAAGAATTATAGCAGACTTCAGAGAAAACTATCCTACTGGCATGCAGATTGCTGATGGTTGGCTTAGAATTTGCTTATTCATTTTATATGATCATATTTGGTACATTTGTTTTCTATTGTTTCTAGATGTTTTGATGGCTCCAGACAGCACGGGTTTTGATGTTATTTCATCACAAGGCACTGTGCGCATACTAATTTCCACCATATCTACAAATTTAAAGAAGCTTACGTCCGGCCTACACTTAGATTCAAATGCAATGAAATTACACATGGGTGCAATACGTCATAGGTGATTTCCTATTAAAATAATTATTGTGTTTAACAGTAGTTAAGTTTTATATATCATACCATTATTATTATTAATCAATCAGTTTGTGTTACTGTAGTTATGTTTGCCATAAAACACAATATTGGTTGATACAAACTTTATCAACCAGTAAATTGAAGCTGTTTGATAATTCCATTAATAAGTACTAAACAGGCTCTATTATTATAAAACATACACTATTATTTTTAGAGTTTTTAGGTTTTATCATTTATTGTTTTCTTTTCATTGTGTCTTGGAAACAGCAAATTACCTGGTCAATTATATCCACCAGTCTGTCCAAATCTCGTTTGCAGTGTTCTTATTTCCAAACCTAATTTTTCCTTGTGAATAATTTTTTAATGATGCCTAAAGATAAACCATCATTGTATTTGTCGTCTTAGACGTTTGGTGAAATTTAATTTGCAATTTACATAAGTGTGTTACTTATGATGTCTTATGATATTTAAACTAACCATAAAACAAATTCAATGCCATTTAACAATCTAATTACCAAAAAACAATTGGTTACCAATACAATAAAGAAATCTTTATTTAATTAAGATTTGTGTTTTACTTTACTATTGCATAATATTCCATTAACTTATACATGGAAATTGTTAATTTTTGGAAATTTACACCAGGTAGATGTTCCAATAAATGCAACTTTTGATTCTAAAGCATAAATGAACTTTTTGTTGAACTGTGTATGACTGTTGCATATAAATGCTATCAGAACAACCTTTTTTAGAACTACATGCCACTAACACTGATTAAAAACTATTTTACTCTGTTCACCTTAAGTTGGCCACCCACTTACTCCCGTGTATAATGAACCGTTGAAACATTTAGACCCCCAGGGTCTGTGATTCGTCAGCAGTGTTTGGCGATCGTTATTGCAGCACAAAGTAAATAACACGTGCAGTCTTGACGATTCCCATTAACGCTTCAAGGAGATGGTAACATGCGCAGCTGCGACTAGGTTTTGTAGAGCGATTGAGTCAACTTACGGTGAACAGAGTATACTGTTTTAAGTTTTATTATTTAAATACTAACATTTTGAATTACAATGTCAACTAAACCTTTTTTGTTTATTTGTAGCCGGTGGTTTGATGACAATGCCTCTCATTCATCAAATAAGATGCTTGTTAGGCTTCTTAAAGATTTACGTAACCGTTTTAGCGGACTAAAATGTTTAAATCCATGGATGATAGACTTATTGGTTAGTTTGAAACTTAAAACATAATAAATTGGCTAGACAACAATCATGATTTTTTTGCAATATGTTACGAAACTAACACATTTTTTAAAAATAATTATCTAGGCTCATCGTTCACTGTTAAACAATAAACAAACATTACCCATTCAGATCGCCTACAGGAGAGTCATACAGCTACTAGCCGGTGGGCTATTTCTTCCTGGTTCAGCTGGAATAATAGATCCCTGCGAAAGTGGTAACATAAGAATTCAAACCTTACTATCATTGGAACAACAAGACTTACTGTGCATGACTGCACAGCATTTGGTTCGTGTGATGGCTCATGGTGGTTTTATTGCTGTACTAAATGGAAACGATAGTATGTAACGTACTACGTACAATTGTACAACCTATAATGAAAATAAACTGAAAATTTGATGTTTAATTTTTTTTTTAGATATTCTAAAATTGAAATCTATCAACGGTATTGTTTTTGAAGACTTGCAAAAAGCATATGAGAAACAAGAAGAGATGGTAGAAGATCTGGATGCTCCAAGTGCAGAAAATGAAGAGGTAGCAATGGAGAGCACATAAGTCAATAATTTTAAATTAGTTTTTTAACATTGTGATTTTTCTTGTATATATTTAATGTTTGTGTGTGTTTGAGATGTGTGCATATGTGGTACATATTATTTTTTTCAATTCATTAGGAAATTATCAAAATGATATATTATACTTATACAATTAAGAACCTCTTTATTGTGTAACTCTCTCATTAAATAAATTTCTTCTGAGGAACAATAGTTTGAAAACAATTTTTTTATTGAATGTAATATAAAAACAAGAGTAACATAACATAATATTTAAAATGTGATTAAATTCACAGCTTAAGTACAAATGTGACTAGATTTAATGACTAGATTAGTGTTTTTAGGCAATATAATTTAAGGCAAGTAGTATTATTACAGTATTAATACATAAAAAAAAACCAACAATAACATTAATTTATTGACTACTTCCTATGAGCTAATTGTAATGGAGTTATTATATTAATTCAGCAAACAATGAATTATTTAATTATACTAACATTAAATTCACCTGAAACCGGTGGTTAGTATGTTGAAATTCATTCAGCACTTGTCTAATATTTTTTCTTTTTTATAATACACTTTTTAAGTATACTTGATGGCTTGATTGATTCCATCTATGGTGTATAATAGATATTATACCAGAATAAACTGAAACAACCAATAATATTATTATATTAATCAACTATTGTAACATTACAATATCATTAACACTACTTTCATCTCATTTTGCTGGTGTGGTGTGCAGGGGGAATTTTAAAACAGATGGGGTTATTGTTTCATTATGAGACATGTTTTGCCGTTCATAATTTTTTATTTTTAAGTTATGGTGATTGACGTTATAACAAACTAGTTTTCAGTTGGTTTTTAATTTATGGTTGGGTACTTTTGCTGTAATATTATCCAAGTATAAGTATCAATAATATTGTCATTACGTCTGATTTATAATTTTTTTTTCAATGTCTCCCCAACTTAAACTAAATATTCCCCTTGCCAGAAGCATAAACAGTGCGTAAAGAAATGATAAATTATATACTCATTATTTTTTATAATGGAATATGTTATGGCTTCTATAGTTTTTTCCGATGACATACTTTTTTTGTCGATCAATATAGATTCAAGATTGTAATATAGTAAATTATTTATAAAAATAAAACATTTAATATAAGTACCATCAATGCATTCTGTTAACTAGTCGCTACAAGTTCAATACCATATCTGAGAAAACCAATCAGCAGATATTTTAAAACTACAAACAATCTTGTGAAGGGTTAACAGTAGTTTATGAATTAAACATTTTTTACTAAAAAAAAAAATGGAACTAGAAATGTGAAAAAAGCACAAAACAAGCTAACTATCTCAAAATGATTATGGAAGGGTTCAAAATGTAAAAATTATTCTTCACTTAAATTAAAATAAAATAAAATTTATCTAAACATTACAACAATTTAATAATTATGAAATAAAAAAATATTATTGGAGTTATGTTAAATGTTATGTCAAGTTTGGAACTTATGCACTAAAAATGTTTGAAATATGCTATCACAATAACTCAAATATACAGTTAACATTATATGGGAACAACGTACAGAATGCATATGAAGATAAGCCCTATTATGATAATAATTATTGTTAATAATGCTAATATTTTTGTAAATATAACAAAATATACAGTTAAACTTTGTACATGCAAGAAGTCCTGAACTTGTTCATTTTTATGTCTAATTATCTCAAAATTTAATTTATAGTTTAAAGTGATAATAATTTATACTATTTATCTGATTTTGTATGAATATAAATAAGCTTTACATAATAATAGTTACCATTTTATTTGCATGGATGATTGCTCTCTCCAAGATCAATCATACTACAAGCCATGTGAGAATTGTAGCTTGTGGATACAGGGACTCTGAATACCATTCCGCTCGGCATACAAATGCATAGTTTAAATTGATGAGCAGCAAATTTGTTTGACAACACTACTGGTAAATTTTGTACATCCAAATAAATGCCTGCAGAACTCAGTACTACTGTACCATTTACTGATCTGAGAAATATATCTCCTTCCGCTGACCATTTTATTTTAGATCCATCAATGACAGTTCCTTCATTACCTTTCAGCCGAGTATAATTTGAAGATTTCAATGTTAGAGTTTCATTTATTGGACTTACTATCCGATTGGTATATACTGTGGCCACATCTAAGTGACGGACACCTTCTGGAAGTCCAAAGTTTGGAAATGATGTGGTAAAAATAGGATTTTCTGGATCTCCTACTGTGAATGAATTAATGTTTTTTACTTGTGTCTTTGTAAACCCAAGTTCGATTGCTGATTCTAAACCTAGAGAAAAAAAAAATTTTAATTCACAATTTAACTGCACCAGTTGCATAATCTCTACTAGATTTATGCTAGGTTGCATGAAAAATTTATTAATTTAACAGTCCAATAAAATTTAATGGACCAATCATGGGCCACTAAATCATGTTTAAAGGACCATTAGCTAACTATGGAGTAGTTAGATGTTTAGTGATTGTTCATGCAACCCGGCAATAGACAACTTACTTTTATCTTCTGGGTTGACAACATGTATAAGTATATTGTCATTTTCACTCAATATTTCTAATGGTATGTCTTTAAACCCTTCCATAATGCCATCTACTTTATATATATCGTCTAAATCTATATTGCCCATAAGTTTGGTCAGATCGCTGTCAGTTAAAAATTCTATACTCTCCATTCTAGTAGTGAATCGTAAGACGACCATTAACATTATGGTTGCGCCTAAGCCAATAATTGCAACTACCATTAATGTCCATGTATAAATCCAAAAATACCAATTTGTAGCTACTAATAACCTGGAAAAAATATTAAAATGTTAAAAACTATAATTTATTTACTGATTTTATTTATACATTCATACAATGATATGTTTTTGATTAACTTTGTAGCAGTTCCTTTTTTACCTGACTAGTCTCAACTCATTTAACAGATATTACATATTTTGTTAAATACTAAGACAATATAGACTAGGCTAGGTTACTTTATAAAGTTTATTATAAATTAGTTTAAAAAATATTTAGTTTACTTTATAAAAGATAAAAAATATTTTTATGCTTTACAACAACTAAGTAAATATATATTATCAATTTTAAACAAACAGAATAAAGCAATACCATAAAAAGTGATATGGAATTTAAAACCTCTTATATCGAACAATTTATTAATAATTAATGACATTACATTTGGAAAAGATACTTTCTTATTCACTATTAAATGTGTATGAACTGCGTGTATGTAATAAATAATGATTAATTTAGGCTGAGTATTAACTATTGTCTATAACCATAGTAGGAACCTCTATTTCAGAATAGGTAATCTTAAACAAAATTACATTTGGTTTATGGATATAAATTTGAATATTCTAACCTCGAGGGAATAATTCAATAACAAAACAAAATAAACATAATATGCATGTTTTTGAATACCTAAACAATTAATTAACTATAATAGATATCAGAAATTGGTTGTACAATTTATCGACTCAAATATTTGATGAAATGTCAATATTAATTTAATACAATTTTTTAAGAGATTAATTTTATTATTTTGTTGCATAAGAATAATAAAACCATGATCTAGGCACCTATTCAAATAATTTACAATTATACATTCAATATTTGTATTATAAATTCTAACATTGTTTTAGCCATTTTAGGTATAAAACTAACCATACACATTTATTAATATCTAAAGTGGAATAAAAATAGTGGTAAAAGTATTCATAAACTTTAAGAAATCTATTAAAAATAGTTTAGGTAGTTGGCTTTCTTGAATAACATTAACCTATTTTAATATGAGTCAATCATTTAGAATACATCTGCTTAAAAGTACATTTCCATAACTCACCAGTCGTTTTCTTCTATCTTGCTTTGTTTCTTAGTTGGTTTTATCAGTCGGCTGGGCAATAACAAATTTTGTGACGCCACGTTTTTCAAATTTTTCATCATTTTTAATAACAAATTTAACCTATTTAACAATTTGTTTTTATAAATAATTTTGTAGGCATTATTGTAATTGTTATCAGATTATCACTAAAATAGTTCTTACTTCTTATTGATTGTTTTTTCACGGCCTAAACAAGATAGCACTGAGATAGATAATTCCTTGGTATAATATGGTGTAAATGTTGTAAGTCAAAAATCGTTGGCTTTTTAATAGTATGATTAGAATCAAGCATCTTTATATTTTTATTTATTTTTTTGCTTCAGATCACACAAGTCAAAACTATAACTTACTATCAGAGAAATTTGTTTTGGTTAAAAAATATTATAGTCTCCTTATATTGGGAACAAAACACGTACATGTCTAGTGTTAAGGCTGAAAATCTGACAGATCGATAATTTTAAAACGGTCTTACTATCTAGTATTCTAGTATCTCCTTCATATTATTTTCTTCGTCACACCGACCATGAACATAAAGCCATAAAGGTATGCTGACTTAATATAAATAATAATAATTATTATCTATTCTGTGTACAGATTATAGTATCATAAAATTCATAAGGTTCGCTCGGTCCGTCATCCGTATTCGCGTGACGTCACTACTGTGTATTTTTTAACCTCAAAAAATATTATGGTACAAATGTAAAATAAAGTAAACTTTAAATTTTCCGCTTAGTAATTGTAGTTATTGCCTTATTGGTAACTTGAATGATATTAAGATTTGAGATTTTTTACTTGAATATTTGAGGCATACTGAAGAGTTGTACTATTATTTTTCTGTCGTAGTTATTTCATTTGTTGTTTAATATGGCTACCGAAAGATATAGCTTTTCGTTGACCACATTCAGGTAAAAATAATTTGTTTACTACAGTTTGACAATTTTGCTCAGTATTTAAATGCTATCAAAATTGTACTGTGTATTCAATATGAATGCGAATAGTTAATGTTCAACAGTTTTAGTATAATTTTGTTTGTGTTGTTTTTACAGCCCGTCTGGTAAACTTGTTCAGATTGAATATGCGTTAGCGGCAGTGTCGGCTGGTGCAGCGTCAGTCGGTATTAAAGGTTTGTATAAATGGTTTTATCGTTTAACTTTTATGATTTAATTAGTTTCTAATTAATTACTATCTTTTGTTAATATAATTTAAAGATTTTAGATTCAAAAATAGGTTTTGCAATTTCTTAGTAACCCAAATATCTACATTTTGAATTGGCATTTAGGACATTTATACTTATACTGAGTCATTTTGTACACTTTTTCTTTGCAATGCTGAATAAATTCTGAATTGAATTATACAAGTTTGTTAAATCCATAGTTATCAACTATAGACATCTTGATTTTTTTAATATTTATAAAAATACAATATTGCAATGTTCTATGAAGTGTTTATCCATAGGCGTGCTCAGACTTCAATTTCTGGTTGAGCCTGAAACAATTATTGCCCTAATACTTAGATAGATGCTCTAAATTTTTTTTATACATAAAAATACATTCTAATGGTCAATTAATAACTATGTTATCGATATCTAATAAAATAAATAATTATAATGTCTTATAATATTTCCGCGGCACGGAGCACTTAAAAAATCTGAATATTACTTAACACAGTGAGCACTTAATAAAAAACTGTTAGTGACCTATTGAGAACATATTAATGTCCATAATTATTGTTTACAATGTTTTTAATTTTATTACTCTACCATGACAAATACAATTTACATGATCTCCACAATCATTTGAAAATATATTTATCATTAGAAATAAATAAATATGTAAATTTTAATTTGTGACCTAAAAATGTTATTTAATTGTTTAGTAAATGGTTTTAAAATATTTTACTGTTTGAATTGTATGTAAAAAAATTGAAATGAATGCTAAGTTTTTATGTTTTTAGCTTCAAATGGTGTTGTAGTCGCTACAGAAAACAAGCGTAAATCTCTTTTATATGAAACAACAGTTGAAAAAGTGCAAAAAATTACACCCAACATCGGAATGGTCTACAGTGGTACGTATGAGCATTATATAAATCTAATTGAATTATTATTTCAACAAATTTGAGTTAAAATTACTGTAAAAATCTGTTTTTTTTTTTACATAATTGATATTATATTTTTTATTTAAAAACATTTAATAAATTATTTTGATATTTTTAAATATCAATATTAAATTACAAGTTAAATATTTTTATTTTTATTTGGTAGTTATTTAATAATTTGTATCTCATATTTTAAATGTAAGTGTATTTTGTACCTACCTATAAACTTGTATAATTAATATAATGGCTTATAAGTAGGGCTTGAAAGTTAATCATCTGAATATTTTATCAATAACTGTTAAAAAAATACCCTCATACAAATTATAAAGCTATTAAAAAACAAACATGTTAAGTACTTTTTAAAATTAATTCTATAAATCATTACTTTAAACAATAAAACAACAAAAATAATAGTTTTATTTTGAAGAAAAAGTTTTCAAATGTTATTGAATTTCGTATTTTTTAAATTCAACTTAAATAATAATCGGAAAGTTTTTTTTAAATTACCATAAACATGGAATAAATTAGTTATTTAAGAAATATTTAGCTAGGATATAATATTTTAAAACATTCTAAAAAAAAAAATAAAAAAAAACATCAACTTTTAAAGTCTGCTGTTAAGAATTTAGAAATAAAATAAATATTCCTTGAGATTTTTAATTTATTGGTTTTGGTCTCTGAAGGTATGGGACCAGATTATAGACTTCTTGTTAGAAAAGCAAGAAAGGAAGCAGCTCAGTACCAATTGAAATTTGAAGAAGAAATACCTACAGCTTTACTGGTGCAAGAAGTTGCTAGTGTTATGCAAGAATATACACAATCTGGGTAATTATTTTCAGTTATTCTATGTACTTATTATGTACTATTAGAAAAAGTTAAATAACCATCCAGTGCCGCAATTAAAGTTTTTGGGGCCGGAGTGCAAAACAAAATAATAGTACCACTTCTTTTACAAAATATTTTCATGAAAAATGCATTTATGTGTATAGATCAATGGTTCATACATTTGTGGAATACATTTTTCATTTAATTTCACCAATTGGCTTGGTGGATACTAGTTTGCGATCACTGCAACGTTTTACTATTTTAGATACCACAGATAATGGTTTCAAAACATATTCCTAAATAATTAAGGCAAAACAAACTCAAAAGATTGAATTTTTTTTAAAGAGATTTTGCTCTATTCTTCAATTTTATTTATTGCTGGTTAATAAAATATTTGACCACAATTTTAACATGTTAATTAAGTTTTCTTTTAATGCAGATACAGATGAATAGCTAATCATCTTATATTGCACACTTTTTAAAAAAAAATTTTTATATTTGATTTGCTATATTACCCTCGATTGAAAGAGTTTTAAAAAATATTCGTACAATTATAAAATATAAGGACTAATAATATTAAAATTAAACTATCATCGATTCTGTTTTTATTGGTAACAACAGAATTTAAGAACAGAACATAATTAATATATTTTCTTCCAGAAACAAGTACATATTATCTACATTATTTTCTAATTTTCTAAATAATAATTTAAATTATTTTTCTAAAAATGCACTCCTGGTAGTTGTAGCACCATCCCCTTAAACTGCAGTTTAGTCCCCTACAATGATTAAAATTTTAAAGACTTGCAATGATTTTTTTGTTATTTCGCATCTTTGCAAATAATATAAAAATACTCAGAATGTTATTGTTCTTTAAAAATACTGTATGTTGATGTAAATTTAATTTAAATTTTAGATTTTTTACTATTCCAAGTGAATTTTTCAATTTAAATGTTTTAGCTGATAAAATTGAATTTTCTCCTTTGTTTTGTATGAAAGTGATAATATATTTCACAAGAATTCTTACTAATAAAAATTATTAATATTTTAAGTGAACATGATAAATGAAACTAATGAATGTTTTTAAAATAAAACTCTTGGGTTAAGTTTGTGTTGTATTTAGATTATCACTATTTTTACAAAAATATGAGCAGAAAGTACTATTCTAAATTGGAAATGAAGGATTATAGGATATTATTAACAACTATTAAAATTTGATTAATTGGTTTTTCAGGGGTGTGAGACCTTTTGGTGTATCATTGTTGGTGTGCGGTTGGGATAAAACTGGCCCTAAACTTTATCAGTGTGATCCATCTGGCGCATTTTTTGCATGGAAGGCCACAGCATTGGGAAAAAATTACGTTAATAGCAAACAGTTTTTAGAAAAAAGGTAAATTAAAAACAAACTTCTTAAAATATATTTGTATTATTAATTGTTATATTTATTTTAATCCTTGATATGTACTTTTAATTGACAGTATCTCTGTATTTATGTTATTATTTTTTTGTATTCAACAGTAGTTTTATTTACCTCACAGACTATGAAATCTAGAATTGTGGTCATCTTATTTTATATTAATGGACTACAGTATATATTTTATAGCTGCGGTTCTCAAACTGCACCATCGTATTTGGTGATAAGCCCAATCCAAAGGAACTACAGTCCAAAATAAAATAAAAAAACTTTATAATTTTATATAACATACTATTTATTTGTTTATTAGAAATTGTGTCCTGGCTTTTTGTCCATTTACTTTTAATATTTACCAATAAAATTAGGTAGGCACTACATTTTAACAATTTATTGATTAATTAACTTAAGGGGCGCTACAGTCATAACTTAGAAACAACATTTTCACCAAATTAGAACATTGGTTGTAACATATCGTTTTTTTTTTTGATATCCGAATTTAAAAAAAAAAGTTATTCAAGTTTAAAAAGACACAAAAATAATGGATTTGTAAACAGTAAGAATTTTTATCAAACAAATATAAAAGATATTTACAGAAATTTTCTCAACTATATTAAATATACATATGGAGTCTAAACTATCACTAAAGCCTGAATGGTTCTATCCCTAGCGATACAGTTTTTGGTATGCTGTACATTGGTAAAACGGAGACAAGTGACAACACATTCAGGCATAGCGTTCTCTATACATAGTTTTCCAGATTTTAGTCAATTTTTTTTTCATCATAAATAAACCAATACATGGCTGCTATGGTCATTCAGCATAATATTGCATTACATAATGTAGATATTAAGTCGTTAATGCAGAGTTGCATAAAGAATCACTAAACAGTAACAATTCAATAGTGAGCTAATGATAACTCCTTAAAAATGATTTAGTGGCCCATGATTGGTCCATTAAATATTATTGAACCATTAATTGAATTCATTTTTCATGCAATTGGGCATAAGACATACAGATTACAACATTTTTAATAGTGGAAAATAAGAAAAAAAAGATTAGAGTAGCTATTTTTAGGCTATTATTAGACGTGTTATTGTGTTGTCTTAAATTGCTGGAGGACGAATATTTTTGAAATTTAATTAAAATTTACCAATTGTTAGTTATACAGAGTACCTATAACATGCATTTAGGAATCAGGACAATAAAATGCCATAATATTTAATTATTTTAAAATAAAATTTAGAGGGTCCACTGACTCCTTAGGGAGCCTGGCCATCTAAAGCCCCTTTGTGACGTGCCTGACATCAAGGCTGTATTTGGTCCATTAGCTAAAACGATTGTGAAACCGCTGATCTATATTATAATTAATTCAACCTTAACATTTGATTATTATTAGTTATCACTAACCATTTTTTAACTGTGTCTCAGGTATAAAGAAGACTTGGAGTTGGAAGATGCTATTCATACAGCAATTTTAGCATTAAAAGAAGGTTTTGAAGGACAAATGACTGCAGACAATATTGAGGTTGGCGTTTGTCGTAAGAATAGAAGAGATGAAATCATTTTTGAAAAGCTTGACCAACAACAAGTGGCCGATTACTTAGCTAATATACCAAACTAAGTTTATGATACTTGTATTTGTAAATGAGTACTAACTAAATATTTAATGTGTTGGAGTTAACAGCTCTTAAATAATATGAGAGAGTATTGTTGTCTCATTAAATTTTATAAATAAGTTTAATAATGAAACATAACTGATTTTTCAAAGTAAAGGCATACGGTATTTTGTAAGTACAGTTTTATATTTATTTCCCTTCATAGTCATGAATTGGTTTTTCAGCATTATTTTCATTAGTCTTACATTTTTAATTAAAATTACACTATCACACTACCAAATAATAAAATTAGTTTATAATATGAAAACATTTCAAATAAAATTTTCTATTGACACATTTTTGAAGTATTAAAATATAAATATTAAATTGGTAATTGGTTAGTTCAATTAAAAATGTTCATCAAAACATCAGTATTAAGAAACATATTTTGTTTATGTTTACAATATTATATGGTACGAACAAAAAATAAATAATTACTACACAAAGGGTTTTTAACCGTTAAAAATTTATTAATTTTAGTTAGATTTTACCTTAGTAATGCAGATCTTATAAACTAGACAACAAGATTTGGTTGTTTAGGGTCTCGTCAGAATCACATTGGCTAAGAAAAAAGTGCACGGTAGAGATTCCTCAGACCTTTATCTTTAATAGTTCATTCATTACAGACATTTCGAGTTGTACATTTTGTTTGTGTTGTTTGTGTTCTACTTGTGGAGATATAAACTTTGTAACAAAGGAAAAAATTTGCTAAAAATTTTAAAATGTTAAAAAGTACAATGCATGTTCCAGAAGAATAGTACAACTATGAACTTAAGTATTGAAAAAAGAGATAATATTTTAGAAATAAACTACTATAATTGTATACATTTGAAAAAATGATTTATGGTTCAGACAATTTTCTATTTTGAGCACTGGCTAAAACAAAATTTGGTTTAATCCAGTTGTATCACAAAATATATACATATAGTTAATAATTTAAAAAAAATCAAGAAAGTTATTGATGAGTCTTATGGGAATGTCACTTATAATTTAGACTTAAGTACCTACATACTATGCAAATCTTTCTCAGTTATCATATGTAAATAGGTAATTACTATTGTGCCTCATAATTTAATGAAGTTTGCTGTAACGGTGGCATCTAAAAAATAAACTACGTTATTTTGAAACAAAAATATGAATTAATTCATAAAATTATTTTTTTATATTATGTTTGCTGCCTTAACACTCAAAACTACCCTAATTACTGGTTGTAACGAGAATTTCAAAGATTATTCTTGGAAATATCAGGAAAGTAAAATTGTTTGAACCACGATTAAAAATATCTGAACTGAGGTACACTTAAACTCAGTTACCCTGATAATTGATACACCGCCGTACCTCCCTATTCAATATTTGTTCATTTTTCACCTGGCGAAATCGATTTTTATGAAAGCATTACAGAATTTGCCACCCTGCTTACAATGATTAATGAGGAATTCACCCTTTGCTCATAGACCTTGTACCACATTCCTCAATATAACTGTATAAGCCCATTACTTCAAAATAATATAATATGATCTAAGATTAAGCCTTAGTGCCCTATGCAGTAAAATTTCACCTATTCCGTGATATGCGTGTGCGAGAATAATCAAAAAATGATTAAAAACAATGTTATCTCACGATAGATAAAATTTAACAGATTTGTTATCATTATTATTGTTGCACTCGGATTCATAGACAATGTAGACATTAACAATGATTAATAATTGGTAAATATTCTCACTCTATGGTCCAGGGTCTCGGATTTTTGATTTTGGACGTCTACGCCGCCAAATCGACGCTCTCACCAGCGACCAGTCCTAGTTAAGATGGGTAAGTCGTCCAAGGATAAGCGTGACATATACTACCGGCTGGCCAAGGAACAGGGCTGGCGGGCTCGGAGTGCATTCAAGCTGATCCAAATCAACAGTCAGTTCAAGGTACTGGATGGGGTCAGGCGGGTGGTAGACCTGTGCGCAGCCCCGGGAAGCTGGAGCCAGGTACTGAGCAAGGCACTGTACTCGGATAGTGAGGACAAGGATGACGTGAAGATCGTCGCGGTCGACTTGCAGTCGATGGCTCCACTCCCCGGCGTCGTGCAGCTGAAGGGCGACATCACCAAGGAGAGCACCGCCAACGAGATACTTGCTCAGTTCGACGATGGCCAGTTGGTGGACCTGGTCGTGTTCGACGGCGCGCCGGACGTCACCGGGCTGCACGATCTGGACGAGTATGTACAGGCGCAGCTGTTGTTGGCTGCCTTGAACATCACCACTTACCTGCTCAAGCCTGGTGGCACGTTCATCGGCAAGATATTCCGTGGCAAGGACTCGTCACTGCTCATTTCCCAGCTTGAGATTTTCTTCGGTGACTTAGTTGTCGCTAAGCCTTGCAGCTCGCGCAACTCTAGCATCGAGTCATTTGTTGTTTGCAGAGATTTCCGACTGCCTAATGGCTACACCCCTACCATGGCCAACCCGTTGATGACCAACGATTCACTGTCCTGGGACGAGATGGACGTGCATAGGGTCATCACACCATTTGTGGCTTGTGGCAGTTTAAGCGGCTTTGACGCTGACAAGACCTATCCTTTGGAAATTGACGGCCTGCAATACATTCAGAGGAATCCAGTACAAGGGCCGATTGCACCACCATACGAGAAATCAAAGCCGTTGATAACTACAAAGGGCATGAGTGTTGTCCAGACACCTATTGATCAAGGTATCACTTCTACTGAAGAACTACTGGACTGATTTTTATGTCACCATAAAATTATATTCTGTTAATTAATCAACATTTTTGATTTATTATGTATCTAATAATACATTTGTACCTATGATATAATTCTTTATTTGTATTTATTTCTATAACCTGTAGTAAAAACATACAAGTAAATTATACCTACTGCAGGTTAAAAACATTTTAAAATTAAACAGGGTAACCCTGTAATTGTGATTTATGAAATATCTATGTAAATAACTGTATAACTTATATGTTGGAACCATATAACTTTTGTGACATAGTATTTATTGATTAAAAATACAATGTGGCATACTGCTATGTATTCAATTTATCCCTGCTAGGAAAATTGAGTAATTATAAATATGTTATTTTGGGTATAACACAGTGGAAAAATATTTAGTAGTATGCTTGCTACATTCAGTTGGAAATTTAATGAATTAAGAATTTTAGATTGATTTTTAGAATAAAAAAAATAATTCAAAACCTCTACCATTTTTAATAATTATTTGAATTAATTTATTTGCATTTCAATGGTGATATACAATGTGTTAAAAAAAATTTGTGTCCAGCCCAAAAACATATCTATGTAAATAATTACTAAAATATTTCTACCTAATACTTTTATATCAGTTTTTAATGAAAATTATATATTTTTAATAATTAAAATTTGTGAAGTTAAAAATATTTAAAGATGAATAACAAGCCACCAGGTATCGTTTATTATTATTATTAGTAATATTATTTTTTTTAGGTTTTTTTTCTAAAAGTTAACACTAACAGTACTAATTATTGCTTTAGATTAATAATTTATTTATTTAATTCATCAATATTTTCAGTATTATTTTAACTAAAACTAACAAAAAATATAATTTTTACAATTATTGTTACCTATAGTGGTATAATATGTGATTCAGTTATATTATAATATAATATAACTTATAATATATTCAGTTATCCATTTATACACACTACTTACATCCAGTGATCACAATGTTTTCATATAAGTCATGAATCATGATAATCTATTTTAATAATTTCTTCATTACCTGTTCAGTCTTCAGTGTTCTTCTAAATTATTTGTGTAAAAAAATGCTGAAAAACCTGCATTCAAATTTTGTGATCTCCATAGGTAGGTGGTACTCATTTGAACATCCCTTATTTCCATATTTAACTATTTCACTTAGATCATTTACCTGTAGGTAGCCTGAATTAGAGTTTATATTATTAAATATATGATACACCGATAAGTGATGATCAAATAGGTACATACGTAGTTTTATTATAATTTTTTACTAAACAATTGTAAAATTAAAAATATTTAAAGTAAGAATGATACTTAATGAAACTAAATAGGCACCTACTTATAATAAAACGATTATTTATTCAACTTTGATAAATATAAATTATAATATGTATTCATAATAATACTTTTTTTTTTTTTTTTATAAATGTTTTTTTCAATCTGTTACAAAAAGAACAATAAAAACAATTGATGAAATTGGAAAGTAGAATAAAAATAAATAAAAATAAAATAACAATCTAAATATAAGTATATAACAGAACGTAGAAGCCTCCCAGTGGAGGTACTACATAAACAAAAAAAAAAAGACAAGAGTATTAAAATTTAATTATTCAGTAGGTTTCTACACCATTTGCGTTTTAGCCGTTTGGGAGGATTACCTGGGATAGTCAAGGAAGAGATGTCGTGCATGAGTGGGTTTCTATGATTTAAAAGACGGTTATGGAATCTTTTGTAGTGTGTTTTCATAATACTACTTAAATTTACGTTAAATTTCACAACCTGCGGAATCTATAGTGCCTACCTATAGATTATGTATAACTTCGAAATTTGTAATGGGTCGGAAATCTGTATCTATAAATTGGGAATTATTTTTGATGTGGAACTAAGATTAAACGATCACATAAATAAAATTAAAAATAAAGCACATTCAGAACAAGGCTTTTTTTAAGAGGATGTTGGCGCACTGTTTGTTGTTTTCTCTCTGCGCCACATAGACATTTAAGCAGAATGGTTTTTTTTTGTTTTGAATAATCCCAGAGTAAAATTACCCATTACATAATCAATAGTGAATAATATTTTTAAGCGAATGATATATCGATTTGTCCAAATATTGTCTCAAAACAATTTAAACATCATTTAAAATTGAAGGTTTTTTTTTTATTTTGAAAGTCGAATACGAAGTCAAATAATAATAAAATATAAAACCGATATGTATCATACCCTTACAAATATTATCCTCTGTAACGTTTAGGTGATTTTACTCTAAGGTTACTTAAAAATCATAAAAGACGATTTTAGGTGAATGCGTTTTATCCATGTTCTCGAGGGTCTGAGAGAGAAAACAAAATATGTTGCGCAATTTGTTCCGATTTTAATAACACACGTCATGCATAAAAAAATATATTTTTTATTGGCTCGATTTCTGTTGGAATATGCCACTCTAATTTGGTCTTCCAACCCTATAACACTCACCCAAAATTTAGGATCAGTATAGAATGCATTCTTGAGATTTTTATTATTTAAATGCAGAGATGAAAAGCATTCACAATTCACATAAAATAGCTATGACGGAAGCTTTATTTTTTAATAAGACTTCCCTAAAAATCAGAAGAAACACACTCATTTCATGTTTGTTGTTTAAGTTCCTTAATAATAGTGTAGATCACAAATATTTGTTAGAAAAAATTTATTTTAAGATTAATAGCAACAGCACTAGAAATACAGATACATTTTTCTTATCAAACATTCTCTCAAATTATTCAACTATTTCTCCGAATATCGTTAATGTCGTCAATTGTTAATTTTGCTAATATAGATATTTTTTTTAGTTAACAATATCGAACACATATTTAACACAATTAAATTTGATAATATTAATTTGATTAATTAGGTATTCATTTTTACTATCAATTATTTTTAAGCCGACTACCTACCTATATTTATATACAATACCTTTCCTATTCTGCATATTTATATAATTATTATGATTTATACATTTTTTTTGTTATATACTTAATACTTATGCCTATATTATTCATGAACATACAATAAAATTACGTGATACAATCGTATAATGGTTTGTGGTGCACCTAGCGAATCATTATAATTTGTTGAAAGTTAGCCATGGAAATTATATTTATTTTGTCACTGTGCAAAAAATATGTCTATTTTCCTATGCGTTTATTAATTTAAAAGTTTTGTGTAAATATTAAAAATCAATTTGTTTTATTTATCATTATTACCATAATATAACATAGGTATGTATTATATAATTGGCTCATTTTTTGTTTTATTATTAGTATGTACTAATAAATAGGTATTGTGGTTATTGATTAAATTCAATTGAGAATTATATTTAATATTTACGAAATTATGCATATTGCAGACAAAAAGTGAACTGAATAAATTTATTTAAAATAATATCTGAATCTGAGGGCAGAAAATGGTGATTTGTTTTTTATTTTTTTATTGATCTTGATAATATCGGCTACTACTAACCATAAGTTATTCTGATTTTATTAACATATTGTTTACAGTAGGTATTAGGTTTAGCTTAAATTAAGTTATATAATTAAAATAATTAAATGTCTTTAGGATGTTAATATAATGTTATTCTAGGGTGTACAAAAAGTTTTTATTGACATAAAATGTGCAGAAGGTTTCTTGATTTCTTTAACTAGTTCTATTGGTTTCTAGACGGTTTTTGTTTTTTTTGTTATGGATTTCTTAGAAGTTTGATTCTTGGAGATGTATTTTATTTAATTTTATTATATTTTAAGGGCTTATCTTTTTCAAAAAATGTAAACATATATATATATATATATATACAATAATATAGTAATAACAATTAAATATAATTATTTTACAAACAGACATATAAATAACGTATATAGGTATACACACACACATATATATGTGTGCACAAAAGACAGATAATAATGAAGTAGATTAAAATATAAATATAATATCACGTATCTAAATTTAGTAAGTTGGGAAGCATCGACATTGGCAATTGATAATAGTATTGTATTGTAATAGGTTCGTTGGCTAAATAATTTGAAATGCAGAGAGGAACATAGAAAGGAAAGTACGTTGAGGGATCTTAAAGTTAATTAAACTAAGAAGGATTAATGAATCTGACATGGCCGGTTTCCGCCAAAATTGTACTTTTCTCTTTCTGCCAATTCACTTTTCCTCTAAAATCAAAAAAGTGAGTTTAGTATTTGAATAATATTTAAACATTGCAACTAAATTTTAAATTTTATACATTATTGAGTCTAAATGTATTAGCTTAACAAATTAAAAATACATAATAATACAAATAATTTTTTAAAATTTTATTTCACACCCTTGTCAGTCATATTAAATTTCGGTACATATAAAATATTTGTATGACACAAAAAATTAACGATATTTTTGGTTAATTGAAGTGAATTGTGAAATGTGAATTGTCTATATTTTTTGGAATCTCCATTAGTATAATTTTGTTTAATTTTGTTTGGTTTATTACTGGTATTATCTCCTGTTTTCTTTTACAGGCATTGTTTACAATTTGTCTAGATATTACCTACTGTCTGAATATAAGGTTTATGATTATGAATTAAATTTTCACATGTAATTAATTCATTAATCATGTACCACAGCATTATTTTCAGTGTACACTTTTGCATTGCGTTTGTAATATATTGTAATACAATTACTGTTCGTTATATATACATCATTATACTATGGTTGCCGTTTTATCAGACTCACGGTTAATTGACTCATTCGCCTATAAGACTCAAAACGGCTGGTCCCGATTTGCACGTATACTAACACACGGCAAAAAAATAATCGTCTATTCGATTCACACATCGGTTAACAGGGTCATTTGAAAGTCCCTGGTGTTTCAAGGGTGTTAAGAATCTACCGATAGACCATACGGCAAAACACTAATGCATGGATGACAAAATACATTTTCACCGAATGGCTGACCAAGAGGGACAATGAACTTTGTCACGATGTCTTATTGCTATTTTTTTTTTTTTTATATAGTCGATAACTGCACGGCTCGTGTGGTTACAGTGAAATTCAGACATATTAACCCTTTAACACTACATCAATCATACAACCGCGTGATCAGGGGATCATACGCACCTTTAAAGCGCATCACAGAACAAGCATGAGAAAGAATGTGATCAGTGTGATTGATGCTAACCTGGAGCAAGAATTATGTATCTTACTTGCTCATAAAATAAAAAATACAACTGTGCTTGAAGGTTCGCATTTATAGCCTACCAAGCGAGGAATGTC